GCATCTAAATAGCACATATAACTTTGGAACAGATGGCTTTCCTGCTGCAGCAACCAGTGCTAATTTATGCTTGGCCACCGGTGTGCGGGGTGGTGTAGACTGGATGAGAAAGTTGGCTTTCCGCTACAGACGCGTAAAAGAGATCTACAATACCTACAAAAATAATGTTGGAGGCAAGTGACCATCACCAATATCTTACTGGATTAGTTAAGATATTCTAGATAAAATTCTTAAAGCACCACACACTTTTGCTTCAAACTTTTTTGGATATAATAGCTTTTTTTAAGAGCAATTTCATCTAGCTAGCTATTATTCTGCTGTGATTTAGTGACAGAAATACTGGACTTGAGCCAGCTGCCCCGACTCGTCTAGTTCAGTCGTGGCTCCATCACCTAGCAGTAGTGCTGTGAGCCGGAGTGGGTTTCTTGACCTCTCTGACATTCAGTTGCCTTCCAGTGATGTGGAATTGACAATCCTTGCCCAAATGACTTGAGATGGATTGTAAAGCTCCTTCTACTGGGTAGAACATGTAGTAGTTCAGATCTTTCAATTGTGGTTCAAAATAGCTTTTATTCTATTTCAAAATAGCGTAAACAGAAATATATTGACTGAATAATGAGGGTTAGGATTGTGTTGGTTTCCAGCCCAGCTAAGCCAGATGCTCAAATAATGCCATCAGAAATGCCTTGCCTATGCTTTCCTTTGGGTAGGAGTTATTCTAGGTCAGTCTCTCCCAGAAGGTGGCAAAGATGACCACTGGTAGGTCCAGGTTTATATTCTACCAGTTCAGCACCTCCACTGGGTAGAAAAATGTCTTTCCCGATAGATTCAGCAAAAGTTCCAAGACTGACTTTCACTGGCCAGCCCATAGTCACATACCTACCCTGGGACCCAAAAAGTACAGTCAGCTCTGCCCAAACCACATTGCTAGAGGAATGGTTGTGTGGAGGCCCCCCAAAAAGAAGAGATGGCTTCACTAACTGTCTTTATAACCCGACTACAGAATGACTGTATGATGACTCTATAACCTGAAGAAGGGATGCTAGGAGTGAGAAATCAATAGCCCTTCCCTGTAGTACTAAAGAAATATTTGTCAAGTGAGTGCTAATATGTGAAAAATCATTGGTTTACTATAAAGCTTGAGGGTGGTGTTAGTCATATTAAATGTTTATTATTTATAAAGTTGAATAGACATGTCAGTAAGGAAGTAGTTATTTTGCTTTTAAATCTACAGGTCTGCTTGGTCCAGCCAAGAGGGAAGCCTGGCTGCAGTTGAGGGCAGAGATCGAAGCACTGACAGACTCCTGGTTGACACTGGCCCTGAAAGCCCTCACGCTCATTCACTCCCGGTAAGCTCCCTGGAGTCACTCTGTGGCTCCGTGGCTGGAAGACAAGCCTTTCTCATGCTTGTTGGTTTTGGAGACTTACTTTTCAATAGTTTTTCTTTTGTTTTCTGTTCTCACAGGACGAACTGTGTGAATATTTTAGTAACAACTACTCAGCTCATCCCAGCCTTGGCAAAAGTCCTGCTATATGGATTAGGAATTGTATTTCCAATAGAAAATATTTACAGTGCAACTAAAATAGGTGAGCTGCTCTTGTTTTGTTTTACACTCAACTCTTCTTCAGACTAGGAAAAAATGAAAAGCAGTAAATGAAACTTTTTTTGGAATGCTAGATGTCAGGAAACTAGAAGAATAATTTAACCAATTTTATTGTCAAAATTGACTTTACACCTCAAGAGTAATAAGTCATAATCCATAGTTTTGTTCAGAAAATTTTACTTCACATTAAGACCTGTGCATTTTGGCTCTAATCAACTTAGCATCAATTCTGTATTATTATCTTATATTTCTTTTAGGCAACGTCAACAAAAATATAAGCTAAAACAAATAGTAGTACACAGATACACAAGGTAGAAATGAAACAACTCTATAGTTTTCTTTAGTATTTCTGGAACTTTTTTTACTTTATTTTTAATTCAACATGTATAAATATTTAAGTTCCTGTTTTGTTATGGGGATACAAAAAATAAATTCTTGTAAGAAGGAAACATAGTTGGATAAAGAAGACTAATATGAAATTTACTTAGAATACAAAGCAAGATAGACTGAAAGTGGGATAAAAAGAAGACACAGCTCTCGTTTTTAGAGAATTCACTGTCTAGCAGGGGAAACAGATATTTTAATTATTATAATATGATTAGTATGTGAATGAGCATTTATCAGGTATTTACTACATGTCCAAAACTGTACTAAGCATTTTACATATTAAAACCAATCTTCACAACCTTTCCATTTTACAAATGAGGAAGCAAAAGCTCAGAGACTTAAGTAAATTGCTTTTTAAGTTAATACTTTGTTAACTGTTGAACTTGGTGTCTCTGATTCCAAAGTCCAGACTCATTTCCACACCCCAGAGAGTAAATCCACACTAAATGCCTGAATGTGCACTGAGTGAGGAAGCATTCATTCCCACCCAAGAAGGATCAGAGGGCAAATGTCAGAGAAAGCTAATGGGGAAGAAATCGCATTTGAGCTGGGTATAGAAGGGTAAGTAAGAGTTTCATAGACAGATGGGCTAGTGAGAGCAAAGGGACAGAGAAATTAAAATGTCTTCCTGGCCGAGGGTCCTGCTGGCTAGTGAGCATTGGAAGCTGATGCTGGAAGGGTACACTTCAGCCTAGTTCTAAATGGCTCGTATGTCACCCTAATGAGATGAATGTTCTGAAGAAGTCCTGGGGGAGGAAGAACCTAGAAGGCGGGAAGAAAGTTGTTTCTGGCTACCCAACTCTACCTAAAAAAAAAAGAGGCAAAATGGAATTACTGCAAGTCTGTTTCTTTGACTACACTTGTATACTTCCTATACTTCTCCTTCAAAGCATTTACTAAATTATTGCTAGAGCTATGTATATAGTTATTTGTTCATCCTTGGTAACTTAGTCTGTCTTGCTCATCATTGTAGCTACAGTGCCCAGCACATAGTAGGTGCTCAATAAAAATTTGTTGGATTAAATAAATGGTTATTTATCCTAAAGAAGGTCATCACATTTGCTTCTTTAGGCACCTGGGTCAGTAGTGACACTATTACCTGATGGAAAAATCAGGCTTGATGCGAAAGATAGGAGTTTGATCTTATCAATGTTGAGTTTGAAGAGCCTGTGAGGTGTTCAGATAGCCTTGTCAGGTTGGACATATCTGGAGTTTGAAAATGACTGATGCCTCCTGAAAAAGGCCCAAGAACAGAATGCTAGAAAATACTTATTTAGTAAAAGAAGAAATATACCAAATAGAATTCCTAGTAGCCCAAATCGAACCAGAATTTTTATATGTTCTCATGTTCCATAAAAATAGAAGTTTATGCTAAGTCAGGTATTTATCCTAAATATATAGAGGGGAATCATACTGTGATTTATAAACAGGAGTCCGTGGTAAAGATTTATCAGCACATGAAAGAATAATTTCCAAAGAAGCATACAGTACAGAAGGGCTAGTGCTTAACTTCTGAGAGGGAAAGAGCAAGTGTAGTGTATTACAGGTCACACACACAGAACTCTACTCCCAAGTAATTTACAAATATTAGGATAATAGGAAATTACAATAACAACTGAGTATGTATTCAGCATTTTTTAATAGGCATTTTATTTGTGATTTTGAACTTTAATGTTTTTCAATGCAGAATAAAAATTAGGTTTAAAAAGGAGTAATGGTAAAATTATCTCAAAACCAGTGGTAGGATTGCTTTCAATGGTATTTTTAGTAAGAAAAGTAGAGATTGAAACCCCACCAGTTATTGCAAAATTTTGCCATCAAATTAGATAAAATTTGGGGATCAATGCAAAGAACTCAGGGGTTTTCCTTTTAGGCAAAAATGGCAGTCATAGGAAGAGATGACTGGTATCTCATTTAGCAGAGTTAATAATGTTCTTTCAGACAAAATGAATTCATCAGAACGAAAACTTTATATAAGACCTCAAATTAACTTCTAAAAGTCAGCTTTAATTTCTTCATCTTTATTGTGGAAAATCTCTAGATGACCCAAAAATTCACAATGAAGCCTATAGGAGATAAGCAAGAAATTTTTTTGTCCATCACAACAGCTTCACCTTTAAATAACATTAAGTTTAACCTTCCTTTTTACATGAAAAGAAACTTTGCAAAAAATGCATAAATACTTCCCTCTAAGGAGAAAAAAGTTTCATGACATTTAAGTTTTTGGTTGTATATATTCACAGTGAAAATACAGACTTTGTATTTGTTTGTTAGATTTAATATTTCACAGTTTGTTTAGTGGGTGCTAAAGAAGCATTGAAATGACATCCTTTGAATAAGGCTGGCCTGATTTCATTCTGTCAGATGCAAACTAGAGATTGTAGTGTGAAATACAAATACAAAGCCAACATTTGTTTAAGCAAACAAGCAATTTGTTGGTGCATATATCTGATCCTCGTTTGAAAGAGAGGCAGGCCCTGCTCTGCCATTCCCATTTGAAGACTATAAACTGTCCCTTTGTCCATTAAAATAACCCTGTTGGCTTAGAATAGGGCTTGGAACACCGGCTTCTTCTCTAAGAAGCAACAATGGCTGCTTTAACCGCTGGGATGTGCTGACTGTGTAGCTGCCTCGGGAGCCCAAACTGTCATGCCATGGGAAAGATAATAGATAGATAAAGGTATTCTGTTACCTTTATCCTACTTCTTCTCTAGGAAAGTACTTTTTGAACATTAAATGCCTGGGTAAGGCAGGCACAATCCCTCGGTAATGCCCCAAATAACCTGACATTTATTTCAGAAACAGTTTTATGAGAACATTTCAGTTAAATGCATTTAGGCTTTGGGGTCTTTAATTCAAATAGAATTCCCAACTTGAAAATGAAGGGATAAACTTCCCCAAAACTAATTCATTATTTTTATCCTTCTCAATAGCCATTGGATCAGGTATATCCAATGAAGTTTGATATATCATGAAACATTTTTCAATCAAGGTAAAATACATTGCCAGAATCACATGCTTTTGCTTAGTCTCAGTTGTAGGGGGGAAAAAAGTACTAGTGCAAAACAATATTTTCCCCCCAAATGCTATACTGTATTTGACTAAGTCCTACTTTTTAATATATGAATCCTTGGGGAAAAAGTACTAAAAATGTCAGTTACCAAGGGACAGGATACCACATGGATAATTAATGTACAATTGGTCATTTATTGTGCTGTTCCACATACGACTCAAATGCCACACAAACACTCTTCTAGTTGCACCATGTAGGACAGAGATGAATCAGAAGCATGAAGAAAGCATTTTATATAAAAAGTTCAAGTACTCAGTTACTCAAACTTTACATTTTTTAAATTTATTTTTGCTCATTAGGAAAGGAAAGCTGTTTTGAGAGGATAATTCAAAGGTTTGGAAGAAAAGTGGTGTATGTTGTTATAGGAGATGGTGTAGAAGAAGAACAAGGAGCAAAGAAGGTGAGTGTTCCTAAAAGATGCATCTCGTGCTGTTTTTCCCAGTCCTCAAAATTCTTGTAACTGAATCATTTAAACGAGTTCCATTTCTCTGAACCAGATTATGAATGTGATCAGAACCATAAGCACTGAAAAAGGGCAGAATAGAATTAAATAAATGTGAGTAATCTTTTTATAAAGAGTGACATACACGAGCTCAAGGGTCATGGCAGGTTGGTCTTCATAGAAAGTTGACTTGGGAAGCAGAAAAGAAGGCTTAGTGCTGCAGGCATCGTGTGGACCAGAGAGAACACAGATGCTGCGCTCAAGCCTGCGTGCCCCTTTCCGTGCCGTCACCGACAATGCCAGGGGGCTACAGCCTTGTTACCTGAGCCTGGATGCTGCCTAAGAAACCTTCAGAGATCCCTTCGAAGGGACTCTACCAGATGGACAGAGCTGGCTTGCAAACTGTTTGCTTCCCTGGAGTGTGGGGTCGCCTTTTTCTTACGCGGTCAGCGCCGTGCCTCTTTGGGACCCTCAGGAGGAAAAGAGAAGGAAACGAGTGGACCCAGCTATGGATCCCTCAGCCTCCCAGTTTGCCCATCAGACTTTATATTCTTCTGCATGCCTGCAAGTGTAAGTCTGTCATTTCCCTTAGCCAAAGCTTTCTCATCAATGTATTTTTTTACTTTTTAAAAAGGTGAAGGACGAGGCTACCAATTTCTCTGGCCTGGCACCCAGGCAGGCTCTTCAAAATCCAGGGACAACCTGCCTTTCCAGTCCCCTCGGCTCCCGCTCCTTACAGGGCAGTCCTGCCAGCCTGCGGTCCCTCCTTTGGCTGCCCTGAGCACCTCTCTTGCTGTTGCTTGGAATGACCTTTTTTGCCCCAGTGCCCTACTGTCCTTGTCTTTGTCAGTTTTCAAAATCCAGTTCATGTAGCACCTTTTCTACTTTGCCTCTTTATAAGAGCTCACTTACAGTTGAGCTCACTTAAACTTAATTGGAGAAACTGTTGTAAATAGCTTGGATTCTTGAGCCAGTCAGCCTCGATTTGAATTATCACTCTGCTGCTTACCACTTCTGTAACTATGAGTAAGTTACTTAATCCTTCCCTTGTCTATAAATGGGGATAATAATAGCACCTGGCTCATTGGCAGTTTTTAAGGATTAGATTTAGTCAAGACATGTAAAATCCATAGAGCAGAGCCTGATACATGTAAAGTGTGCAACAAATGGTAGCCATTGTTATTGTTTGTGTATGTGCCTGTTTCCACAGTAAAATGTGAGTTCCAGAGAAGAAGGGATCTTATTTTGCATAGTTTGTTGTTTGAGACTTCAATTTTTTTTTACAACTCTAAATCATGGCATAGTCATACTTGATAAATATTTCTTAAATTGAGCATCAAATATTTTATGAGATTAAACAGTAGAATAGGTTTCCCTTCCCTACACACTCAGTCATAGAAATTACTGTATATTTCCATAAAGGATGCAATAGTTCAGCTCTCACCAAATACTTCAGCATATACAAGAAATGGCATAAAGTCAACAGAACACAGATGCAGTATTAAGCGTCTATGTGGCCAGCCTTCTTAGTCTAACGGTGATTTCATTCACCTTCAGTGCCTCTGAATTCCAACAGAAGCTGACCCTAATTCTAAATAGATTAATTCACTTATACCCATAGCATTACAATGTACCCAGGAAAACAAGCTTCCCAAGTGTGAATGGTGCTCGTGGAAACCCACACATGCTTCAGATTCAGTAGAGCTTGATGCTAAGAACAGTTTGCTATTTAAGCCGTGGTTCTGACATTCTAGCTTCACCAGTGGCCGACCGCCATTGTCATAAGTACATCCGTTAGTCCTTTGGGCTGTCTTCATAAAATGAAATCTTTTCCAGGCTTAATCATAATACCCCAAATTCAACCTTGGAGCACTAGGTTGGCTTCCAGACTCAAGTCTTTTTCCTGAGAAAGCCTCTGGAATTCCCATGCCATTCCTGAACAGGACTAGTGGCTAGGGGAATATGGAATAGATCTGGGCCTCTGAGCAGTGTGGAATTGGTGAAGAGCAGCATTTTATGCCTATGTGGCCTAGGACCAAAGGGGTATATCTGCCCTCCAGACTGGTCTTTCTCCCTCTAGGATTCACTAAAAAGTTTTAATTTTAGGAGAAAATTGCCAAAATGTGGCTTTCTAGCTTTGTGGTAGACACACGGATGCTTATGAAAGGTATGACCTAAAATGCAAAGAAACACAAGTGAAATCCTTTGGGCCCTGTTAAAGTTTCTGTGGGTGAATTTCTTCCTAAATTTTTTGGAGAAGTGTGTTTCTTAGGTGTTTGGCATGGGTGACTACAACATGGAAAATATAAAGAAATTTTAGGTTTGATGATAGAATTGAAAAGAACAATAGGACTAAGATTATTTGCTCTCTTTGAAGAAGAGTTAAAATTGTTCCCACTATTTATCCTTGGACATATCAGTCTTTTTATTTGGAACATACACATCCCTATACCAAAAGAATTAGGCAGCTGACTGCAAAGAACATCCTCTTTGAATTTTTTGATGGTGACTGAGGATTCCTCGCTTCAACCTGCTGTTTTGATTTTGTGAGATGAGTGTATGTGATAAGGGTCTGGTAGTATGTGTTATGAACAAGCCCTGCACCTTGAGACCTATCAGTGTAGGAACTCTGACAAAACTGACTAGGAGTTATAAGCCTGTTTGTTTATGTGTGTATGTAAAGTAGATTTTTCAGAAGGTTCAGATTCCTAATAATCTCACGTGAGAGTCAGATGTCATCAGTCTATCTTCCAGAGTGAGAACCTGACCATTCCTTTCCTATATTCTATCTAGCTTTTTTTAGGTTAATTATTATTTAAGTAGTACTACTTGGTACATGAGTTAAGAGACAAAGATTTAATAATCCACAATAGAAAATGTGTACCTTACAAGTGGAGTTCTGCACAGAAATAAAGAATATTTAACTTAGGAAAATTCATTTAGAGGGAAAAGACTATAATTCAACAGTATCCATTTAAAAAATTGTATATATAAGCTCAAGCTGAATGAATAGATGGTTATCCATGCTATAGGATTAATTATCATAATGGTAGGAAACAAGAATTTCTATCAATTATAAAGCCCTTACGATGTCCCAGATCCTCTTTTAGAAATTTCCTATCCATTATCTCCTTAAATCCTCACAATTCTGTGAGGAAGAAGTCCTTACCCCCATTGTATAGATGAGAATACTGAGGGATAGGAAGATGAATAATTTGGCCAATATCACATAGCTGGAAAGTGGCCAAACTGGGACTTGAAGCCACTTACATCTGTGAGATTTAGCACAAAGTCCCTTGATATAAACCTTATTTACATGTCTTAAATATTACAATATAATAAAAAATATTAAAAATGAATAAAAAATACAAAAAAGAATTTTTATGCTTACTTTTAAAATTATTAGAATAAAGTGTGCAGTATTTCTTTTGGTAGGTAGGTATAACTATGTCAGAATCTTCTATCCCCTAATTTTACATTCGTAATTAAAATTTTCTAAATCATTATTTCATGAGCATTTTACATGATTAAATAAAATAGTGAACTAGTGAAGTTCTGCAAATTTGAGCACTAAAATGTTCTGCAAAATCAAACTATTTTGCATTTATTTTAATTGATTTTAATCATTTAGCTTATCTCTCTTAGTTTCCACAGTCCTTCTAAAAAATCTAGTACAGTGCTCAAGCTTTTTTCACTCTAAAGATGTCTTTTATCTCCCTCAATAACGTTCTTTTGCTGGAGGCAGTTATTTTTTAAGCCCAGGAATGAAATGAGCAAGCATGCAGCCTACTGCCTGTTTTCTTAGGTCAGCCGGAGTCCCCCTGCCGTCCTCGTTCTCATTGCCAATGTAGTGCCAGGGCTTTCGTCGGGAAGTTTACTGAATTCTGTAATTCACATCATTAAAAAACACCTCTTGAAAGAGGAAAAAGCCAGAAATATCTTTATTTAGAAGAACAACATTATTCTAAAACGATCTCTTGTAAGTTTTCTGTGAGGACCTCTTTGTTCTGAAAGACCAAATGTGGAAAGTCATCTAGGTATGGATATCTTTCTTTGAAATATGTCTTTTGTTGTCAAAATGTGCCGGGCTTTCTGTTGGAGCATAGATTCTTTGTTTCCTTAATACACAGACCTCGAGTGAAAGAAAGTGGGCATGTATGTGATAAAACAAAATCAAGAGGTAAGTAACTCCTGCACACTGACAGCAGTTTTCATTTCTAGAGTGAAAGTGGCCTTGTTTTATATCTCTACCACTACTTACTTTATTTACTTTTCAGAGGACTACTTAAAATAAATCTCTTGTGAAAACAAGGGGGGATGGAGTATGGTAAGCATCCATTATTCTGCATGTTGACAAAGGCTTCATCAAAAAAAAATGCCCATTTTATACATGCACTCCAAAACTTGCTGAAATCTAAGATGAAGCTGAGAACTTGATTAACTGTGCTTGAATCTGAGCTTATTCAGGAGAAAACTAAGTGCTGCCTTTGTTTTTATTGCAATATTTTGCTTTTAGATTTCTTTGAGAAATAGGGATTACTAACAAAAAGTATAGTGAATTTTATTATTCTAATGCCATTTACATTCATTTCATACTTAATGAGCCCATACTATATGCCAGATCTTGAACTGGATTTCATCTTCATGCTTAAAGAACTCACTTCTGTCTAGAGGGGAAGCAGATATACATGTTAAGAAAGGAGCAGTGCTATGCAGTTTCATGAGTTCTCTAGAGATAAGATATGCATATGAAAGCACAGATGTGTTCTTTTTTTTTTTTTAATACAGTGGTAACTATACACTTTCTTCTGTACCTGCTTTTGTCACTTAATGTATCCTGGCGGTTAACTCATATCAGTACATAGAGTTCTGTGTTGTTCTTTCTTTTAAATGGACATATTGGTATTCTGTTACATGGATGTGCTATAATTTAACAGTTCCCCTAGGGCTGAACATTT